TTTTTTTGGTATACCTATTTTAAAGAGTAGTACCTGACTGTAGTTTTAATCTGCACTTCTCTAAAATCTAAAGATGATGAGCATCTTTTTACGTGCTTATGGACCACACCATATCTTCTTTGGTAAAAGCTACTCATTCAAATTTTTGCCATGTTGTAAATCATGTTATAATATTGAATTTTAAGAGATCTTTATGTATTATGGATATGTCTCATATTAAAAAATATGGTTTGAAAATATTTCCCCCAAGTCTTTGGCTTATTTTTTCTTATCTTTTTAACCTTCTTTTGATGTCATCTTTACTTTTTACTTTGCTACCATAAAATAAAACTGAATTTTTCCTTTTGGTGTTCTACAAATTTGAACACATATGTATAGATTCACCACTACAATAAGGATGCTAAACAGTTCTATCACTACCCCAAACTCCCTTGTACTATCCCTTTATACTTTTACCTTCACTTTCTCTATAACTTCAGCAACTACTTCACTTTCTATTTCTCTTTTGTCTTCTCAAGAAGGTTAAATAAATGGAACCATACAGTATGCAACCTTTTGAGACTAGCATCACTCACTCAGCATAATACCTTAGACACTGACCCAAATAATGTGTGTGAATGAGCACTCTATTCCTTTTAACTGCTAAGTAGTACTCCATGGTGTTAATTACTAGAGTTTGCTTAGCCACTCACCTTCTGAGGAACACTTGGTTTCCAGATTTTGGCTATCATAAATAAAGCTGCCATTAACAGGTTTTCAAATTAGCATGTTTTCATTTCTTAATGGTAAATACCCACAGTGGGACAATTGCATCATATACTAAGTGCAGGTTTAATTTTAAAAGAAACTATTCAGCCATTTTGCAGAATAACTGTACCATTGTACAATACCTCCACCACAGCAATGTATGAGAGTTCCAGTTGCTCTATATCTTCAATAGTTGTTACTGCCAGTATCTCTTAGTTCAGCCATTCTAATAAGTTTACAGTGGTATTTTGTCATGCTTTTTAAAATTATCTTTTCCTAATGGTTAATAATGCTGGTATATGTTGTTATATACTTACTGGCCATGCTAATATCCTCTTTGGAGAAGTGTTTCTTAAAATCCTTTGCCCATTTTTAAAACTGGTTTTTTTTTTTAGGATTATTCTCATTACACACACAAGATACAGATCCTTTGTCAGATAAATAATTTGCATGTTTTCTCCTAGTCTCTGGTTTGTCATTTCAGTTTCTTGACAGCATCTTTGGCAGAGCCAATGTTTTTAATCCTGATGAAGTCTACTTCATCAATTTTCTTTTACTACTTGCTGTTTTGTTGTCACTTCTAAAAAATACTTGAATAACCCAAAGTTATGAATATTTGTTTCATGTCTTCTAAGTGTTTTGTAGTCTTGGCTCTTTCGTGTAGGCCTCAGATACAATCTGAGTTAACTTTTTTGAG